CAGATCTTCAATAAAAGTAAGTGTCATGTAATTGTGCATGCCTTTTTCAGTTTGTGTGTACTAAAATTAACATTTTTTTGTGGTAAAAAAATTTTTTTTTCATACTTTTGGGTGTCTTGCACGGATTAATTTTATTTCCATTATTTCTTATGGGGAAAATTAATTCGCATAGCGAACATTTCGCATAACGACCAGCCCTCTTGCACGGATTAAGTTCGCTATGCGGGGGTCCACTGTATTTTATTCATTCTAGAGTATGTATCAGGTTTCTGTGTTATGTGTATTGTTTATTATATCATATTAGATGAATTGTGATAGATAAATAAGCCATAAACACGCTAGATAACAGGGATATCTTGCTACTCCTACTTACACTTTGGTCACACTTCACAGATACGCACATGCATATATATACTGTATATAAAATACATCTAGGTTTTTCTCCTTTTTCTAAATAGCTCTTGTCCCTTTTTATTTCTTCTATTGTCCATGGGGAAGTGGAAAAGAATCTTTCCTCCGTAAGCCATGCGTGTCGTATGAGGCGACTAAAATGCCGGGAGCAATGGGCTAGTAACCCCTTCTCCTGTATACATTTACTAAAAAAGAGAAGAAAAACTTTATAAAACTGGGTTGCTTAAATGTGCGTGGATGTAGTGCGGATGACAAGAAACAGATGATTGCTGATGTTATGAATGAAAAGAAGTTGGATGTCCTGGCTCTAAGCGAAACAAAGCTGAAGGGGGTAGGAGGGGTTTCAGTGGGGGGAAATAAATGGGATTAAATCTGGAGTATCTGAGAGAGTTAGAGCAAAGGAAGGGGTAGCAGTAATGTTAAATGATCAGTTATGGAAGGAGGAAAAGAGAATATGAATGTGGTAAATTCAAGAATTATGTGGATTAAAGTAAAGGTTGGATGCGAGAAGTGGGTCATAAAAAGCGTGTATGCCCCTGGAGAAGAGAGGAATGCAGAGGAGAGAGAGAGAGTTTTTGGGGGAGATGTTTAAGTGAATGTATAGGAGCCTTTGAACCAAGTGAGAGAGTAATTGTGGTAGGGGACCTGAAGGGCTAAAGTAGGAGAAACTTTTAGAGGGGGTTTGTGGTAGGTAAGTTTGGGGTGCCGGTGTAAATGATAATGGGAGCCCTTTGATTGAACTTTGTATAGAAACGGGTTTAGTTATAGGTAATACATATTTTAAGAAAAAAAAGGATAAATAAAGTTTTACAAGATATGATGTAGGCGAAATGACAGTTAGTTTGTTGGATTATGTATTGGTAGATAAAAGACTGCTGAGTAGACTTCAGGATGTACATGTTTATAGGGGACCCACAGATATATCAGATCACTTTCTAGTTGTAGCTACACTGAGAGTAAAAGGTAGAGGGGGATACAAGGAGAATAGAAGCATCAGGGAAGAGAGAGGTGAAGGTTTATAAACTAAAAGAGGAGGCAGTTAGGGTAAGATATAAACAGCTATTGGAGGATAGATGGCAAATGAGAGCATAGGCAATGGGGTCGAAGAGGTATGGGGTAGGATTAAAAATGTAGTGTTAGAGTGTTCAGCAGAAGTTTGTGGTTACAGGAAAGTGGGTGCAGGAGGGAAGAGAGCGATTGGTGGAATGATGATGTAAAGAGAGTAGTAAGGGAGAAAAAGTTAGCATATGAGAAGTTTTTACAAAGTAGAAGTGATGCAAGGAGGAAGAGTATATGGAGAAAAAGAGAGAGGTTAAGAGAGTGGTGAAGCAATGTAAAAAGAGAGCAAATGAGAGAGTGGGTGAGATGTTATCAAAAAATTTTGTTGAAAATAAAAAAAAGTTTTGGAGTGAGATTAACAATTTAAAGAAACCCCTAGAGAACAAAGGATTTGTCAGTTAAAAAAATAGGAGAGGAGAGTTTTTTAAATGGGAGTTAGGGTTTTGGGGAAGAGGGAGGGAATATTTTGAGGAATTGTTAAATGTTGTGGATGGGAAGCTGTGTTTTGTGTATGGGGGAAAGGGGGAAAATACATCTTGTAGGAGTGGGGAAGAGCCAGTTGTGAGTGTGGGGGAAGTTGGGAGGCAGTAGGTAAATAAAAAGGGGTAGGCACCCGGGATTGAGGGGGATAAATAAAAATGTTAAAAGCAGGGGGGGATATATTTTTGGAAAGGGGGTTTGGGTGCAATTATTTAAAAAAATGTATGGAAGGGGTAAGGACCTGGGGATTGGCAGAGGCATGCTAGTTCCTTTGTATAAAGGAAAAGGGGGAAAAAAGAGGGGGAAAAAAATTATAGGGGGAAAAAGTCTATTGAGTGTACCGGTAAAGTGTATGGTAATTTAAAAAATTGAAAGAAAAAGGTAAGACGGAGAAATAGGATAGGAAACAAGGAGGCTTTGGGAAAAGGTAGGGGGTGTGTGGACCAGGTGTTCAGTGAAACATATAAGTGAACAGTATTTAGATAAGGCTAAAGAGGTCTTTGTGGCATTTATGGATTTGGAAAAGGCGTATGACAGAGTGGATAGGGGGGCAATGTGGCAGATGTTGCAAGTGTATGGTGGTAGGAGGTAGGTTACTGAAAGCAGTGAAGGAGTTTTTTTACGAGGATAGTGAGGCTCAGTCAGTGTATGTAGGACAAGAGGGAAATTTTTTCCAGTAAAAGTAGGCATTAGACATAGGATGTGTGGATGTCACGTGGTTGTTTAATATATTTATAGATGGGGTTGTAAGAGACAAGGGTTTAAATAAATGCGAGGTCTTGGCAAGAGGCGTGGAGTTAAAAGATAAAGAATCACACACAATTGTGGGAGTTGTCACAGCTGCTCTTTGCTGATGACACTGTGGCTCTTGGGAGATTCTGAACAGAGAAGTTGCAGAGATTGGTGGATGAATTTTGGTTAGGGTGTGAAAGAAGGAAAATTAAAGGTGAATACAGGGAAAGAGTTAAGGTTATGAGGATAACAAAAAAAGATTAGGTGATGAAAGATTGAATATCAGATTGGTGGGAGAGAGTATGGAGGAGTGTGACGTATTCCGATAATTAGGGGAGTGGACGTGTCAGCGGATGGGTCTATGAAAATGAGGTGAATCATAGAATTGATGAGGAAAAAAGACAGTGAGTGGTGCACTTAGGACAGTTCTGTGAGAGACAAAGGAACTTTGTCCTTGAAGGCAAGAGGGTGAATGTATGAGAGTATAGTTTTACCACGCTCTTATATGGGTGTGAAGCGTGGGTGATGAATGTTGTGCAGCGAGGAGGAAGGCTGGAGGCAGTGGAGATGTCATGTCTGAGGGCAATTTGTGTGGTGGGAATATAATGCAGAAATTGTAGTTTGGAAGTTAGGAGGAGGTGCGGGATTTCAAAACTGTGTCCAGAGGGCTGAGGAAGGGTTGTTGAGGTGTGGTTGGAATGTTAGAGAGAATGGAGCGAAACAGAATGACTTCAAGGAGTGTATCAGTCTGTAGTGGAAGGAAGGCGGGGTAAGGGGTCGGCCTAGAAAGGCTTGTGAGGAGAGGGGGTAAAGAGGTTTTGTATGTGCGAGGGGCTTGGACTTCCAGCAGGCATGCATGAGCGTGTTCGATAGGCGTGAATGGAGACAAATGGGTTTTAATACTTGACGTGCTGTTGGAGTGTGAGCAAAGTAACATTTATGAAGGGATTCAGAGAAACCGGCAGGCCGGACTTGAGTCCTGGAGATGGGAAGTACAGTGCTCACTCTGGAAGGCGCAGCGGGTGTTAATGTTGCAGTTTGCAGTTATAAAAACTGTAGTGTAAAGCACCCTTTGGCAAGACAGTGACTGGAGTGAATGATGGTTTGAAAGTTTTCTTTTTCGGGCCACCCTGCCTTGGTGGGAATCGGCCAGTGTGATAATAAAAAAAAAAAAAAATTTTGTCGTTCCTGGAATTCCACGGGAATGGATTAATTCCATTTCAGTAATTTAATGAGGAAAAAATTGACTTGCAAACGGAGGCAAATCAGATGCGGAGCAAAGGTCAGGAACAGATTTAAACTTGGTAAGTAGATGTTCCACTGTATTATTTCTTAACTCAAAGGTATCCCTGTTCATGGATAATGTGACACTAATGAGAAAATAAACAGTAGTAGACCAGCAAAGGCTACAAATAGATGTGGATAAGCTGCAGATGGCTATTAAAATTTAACCCCAGCAAATGCAGTTGTGAAAATCAAGGAATGGCAAAGACAGGAAACATTATAGGCTTGGGAACAAATGCTGCCAACCTCCCATAAGGAGGACCTCAGGGTGAGTATAGTTTCAAGCTTATCGCCTCAGGCGAACATCACTGAATAATCTCTGCATTCAACGCCCATCCGGTAAGTCTAATGTTAGCTTTCAGGAACCTCAAGAGTCATTCATGGGAACACAGATGACACATGTGAGGCCCATCTAGGAACACAAAACGTGAATATAGAACCCACACCCGATAAAGCATGTCAAGAAGCATTTTTTACCTCCCACACGTTATCTTACAATAAATGCTATTCACATCTCGCCCTACATTAAGACTACAAATATTTTAAAGTAAGTAATGAATGTACTGTGTGTATTTTACTTTTTCTTGTTTTTTAATGCCTAGCTCTACTACTTTACATATACATTTATTTTATTTTCAACAAGTCGGCCGTCTCCCACCGAGGCAGGGTGATATACATGTATTTGTGTCAATTTGTTATCTGGCATTTATATGCATTTATAAGTGGAAAAAAAATGACTGCTTTCCGGCGATGTCCACTTTCTGGCAGTAACCTGGAACCTAACCTGCCATATAACCGGGGCCCTTCTATATTTTTATATTATATTAAACTGCATTAGAAGTTTATCACCACTCTGTACTATTTCTTTAGTGTGCACTGAGATAGAGGGGGGCTAGGCTTAAAAAATACAGATCACATAGCAACTGAAGTACATATATATATACATATAATCTATTTTTCTTTTTTACTAAATATGCAAACAAAGGACAATCAGAAACATTCACATACACAAATAGGACAACTTATTACCTTACCTCTAAAATATGGTGAGGCTGCAGGTGCAGAGCCATTGATAGGACCCAGGGGGAACGCGATATACATGGGAACCTGGTATCATAGCTTCTCGTGCATCATACATAGCAGTATTCATGAAATGAGAACCTGGGTTGGTAGCATTTATTAGTCTTTTAGGTTTGCTGAACTGCATCATAGATTCCTTAAGATTGTTTAGTGGACCTTCCACCAAAACCTTCTTTTCTTTGAAATGATGTAGTAGATGATTCCACAAGCCTTGCTGCTGAAGAGGGATATCTCTTATGTATTCATTCTGAATTTATAAAGTACTTCTTCATCCTGGTCTCATTAATGTAAAAGCTACAAATTTGAGTTTCCACCCCCCCCCCCCCCCCCCCCCCCCCCCCAAATATTTTTATTAAAGATATCTTTGCAACCTATATTATCATATAATTTTATTTTCTTGCTTATTTCTAAATTCGGGTTGTAAAGAAGAGTCCATATTTTATGCAACAAAGTATTATACAGTCACCTGATCTACTATGCACAGTATTTGATCATATACAAAATAAGGTCACCTTTGAGAGAACTTTGGGATTGCCCACAATAATGATGCCATAACGAGCTCGAGTGAGGGCCACATTAAGCCTTCTAGGGTCCGACAGAAACCCAATTCCCTGATGTTCATTGGACCGCACACATGACATGATGATGAAGTCCTTCTCCCGTCCTTGAAAAGCGTCCACACTTGCAACCTCTAACCGCTGGTACAACTTCTGGTTTAAAGGCCCTTGATACTGCATGTACTGAACCTAGAATTTTGTTTTTTACATTACAATATACTATAAACTATATACAATATTCTAATTTAAAACATGAAACAAAAGAAATAATTTTAAATAAAAAGATGCACATTTTCTAATATCCTTCTCATTTCATGCTTCTATAAAAAAAAATCAGATCACAGTTTCTTCCCAAACCAGCTCTCTCTGGATACATCATCAAAATATTACAGCACAAGAAAAAACCAACAGCTTTTTCATACTAATTCTCAAGCTAATCTTAAACCCCTCAATATACCAAAATAAAACTATCAGCTTTGTAACCATTAAATACACAACACTTTTTTTTTTACATTTTACAGCAATAACCTATTTTTTCTCCTTTTATTTTTGAAGGTAATTGGAAATCATTTTCTATTCTCATTATTCTATTATCTATTCTGTGTGTATGTGGGTGTAGGCAATCAGCAGACATCAAGTTTTTGCTATGAGAAATGTATACTTTGTTTTGTTTAATTTTTTTCTACTTATGACAATGAGCCACTGAATAACTGTGAGGAATACTATATAAATTATGATACTAATAACTGAGTGGTGACCATCTGCAGATGTATATGTAACTTGTACAAATTAAAACAATAGAATGAAAAAAAAATCAGGTTGATAAAAACAACATGGAGTATCATATGTATTCAAATTTCTGATGAGAATTTGTTAATTTACTCCTCCTCTACCCTGGACGAGAGAAGTAAAGCTGAGAGGTCAGATCATCCTTGGATATAGATATGAAACAAGTAAAGATGAGAGATAAAGACGGACAAGTCCTCCTCCAATTGGGGTGGGAATGTTTTTGTTTGTTTGGTAGATAGGGATAACAGCTGGGACAGTTATTCATATCTAGTACCTGTGAGCAGTTGGTAGGTACAAGAGGATGTGGTGGGTTGCCTGGATAGGAGGCCCCAGCACCTGGCTGGAAGTCATGGGAAGATTGATTGGTAGACCATGGAGACAGTGGGTAGATTGCCCTAGATGGGCCTTCATCCTCAGGATGGCAGCCATGGGAGTAAAGACCTTGGGGGGGAGAGGGATGCCTGAAAATACCCCCTACCCTGAGCTGGTGGCCATGGGGAAGATGTGGGAACAGTAACTCCCTAAATTGAAAAGACTGGGAGGAGTTATTTGGTGCTGAAAACATCCAGGAGTGATTTTGATGGATTTTATTAGTTATTGGTTAATCTTAATTGGTCATTTATCAGTTAGTCTTAATGACTGGAACAGTAGCTAATCTGGCAACTCAATCAGCTTTTTTGCTTATAAACAAACTTGAGGAAAAGGGATGGCACAAATGGAATTATGGGCTATTATAAAATTTATTTAATGTTAAAAGTGGAATAGTTTCCAAGTGTGGTTTTACACTCGATATATCAAAGAATAAGGAATCAAGTGTTTGGTAAGCCCATTACATATAATAATTTTGAATTTCCTTAAATGTATTACCCATGAATAAGTCAACCCCCAACTTTTTGGCTCAAAATTTAGTCTCAAAACCCCGACCTATACTCAAGAGTACATACAGCAGTTGCAAAAACAGCAAAACTTTACCCTTACAAAATTTTTCTCTTATCATTTCCTCCTCTCCTACCCATATCCATTTATGTAGGATGAAATCACTCCATATTAAAGCAAGAGATCTGGCAGAAAGTGTAAAAATACCTCCAATAAAAAAACAAAGAGGCACAATGAGTATACTAAGAAAGAACTTGATAAGCGTAACAGGTCCTTGACCTTTCAGCACCCTCCTATCAAGTATAAGGGAAATTACCAACAAGCTTCTGAATCTAGTTATGTGGGAACATGAAAACTTTCTCGAGTCAGTTCCTGATCAGCTAGGCTATGATTCATCGATCAGGCTGTTGGTGCTCTAAGCACCAACAGCCTGATCGATCACCACCCAGAGTTGTCGTAAGGTACACAGCAATAACAAATAGGTCATTAAAGTATTTAATTTCTATGCACATGCAGAATCAGACAATCATTTTTTTAGATACTGTAAGAAGTGTCAACCACATTATTTAAGTGAAGACAGCAAGAAACCAAAATATTGAGCGATGACCAATGAACAACCTATCCACAATCAGGATCCACAGTGGATCTGCAAAAAATAGTTTTATTAGTTTAAGGAAAAAAAGTTATAGGTGAATGAGGCTCTACTAACCAGGTAAGCTCTCTGGCCTTCATAAGGCGTAATAACACCAATCTGCTCTGGCTTCACACCAGAATTAAGGAAGCGTGTTACTAATTTTTCCACACTGGATGCCCTCTGTTCGGTTTAAGTAAGAAGTACCCGACCCAGCTATTTCTTCTTGACCAGCTGTAACATAGAAGAACTGAGGTTTGTCTGCTTGGGGCCAGGGAAAACTTACACCTTTCATTGTACGATCAGCTGTGGATGGGAGAAAATTGCACAATTAGCTGAAGATGGAATTACATGTAGTACATTATATTTTTTTTTTTTTTTAACAAAATTTACACAATACAAGCAGCCCTCATCAATTTTTTTAACACACCATCCGTCTCCCACCGAGGTAGGGCAACCTAAAAAAGAAGAAACACATTCACCATCACTGTCTTGCCAGAGGCGACTGCTTTCCCTGAATCCCTTCATAAATGTTACTTTGATTGCACTCAACAACACACCATCATAAAAACCACTTGCCTCCACTCACTCCTATCTAACATGTTCATATACACTTGCTGGATGTCTAAGCCCCTCATATACACAAAACCTACTTTACCTGCTTGCTCCTGCCTTTCCCAGGGCAACCCCTATCCCTCCACTACATTTTTTTCTATAATGTAGTGGAGGGAAGGCAGGGCAGGGGTTTCCCTAGGAAAGGCTGGAGAGAGCAAACAAATGGATTTAGCTTACCATCAGCAACACCATTCTGAAGGGACCCCTCATAGAAAAAGTTGGAAGGAAACTGTGCCAGTTGAGGGTGCATACGGTATTGGACGGTGAGGCGAAATGGCCGTATGCCCAAAACAACCAGCCTTTCAAAAAGAGATTGGGAGAGGCCAGCCCTTGAGGCCTTCTTACACATTACAACTGGACCCAACTGACAGTGGTCCCCTACAAGGATAACTTGTTTGGCCCCAAGAACAACCTGAAAAAATACAGTAATTTCAAATGACAAAATACAGTTAAATACTAAATACAACTAAATACCAAGAGAGACTGGAGGAGTTATTTATTATCTCATTTATCACAGAATAGCATATATAAAACAAAGGCTTCCATCTTCCTCATTTCTTTGTCATTCCTTGTAGTCTACATAAGAAGCTTTTTATTTCCAACAAATTAAGCCATGAGTATGTACCAAATGTGTTAACCATGCTGCTGTTACCATAAGATAAAATAATCCACATTAAGTAATTATTTATACCTCTGGCAAACATCAATTAAATTTCATATATTTGAGTTAAAGTAACAATATAACCTAACCAAAAATAATCTTAAGGAAGCATTAGTAGATCTCATTTTGATCTCAGTAGGTGAACAAGTGAAAATTATGCATCAGTATAACAAATTCAATAATGGAAGCCAGACAAGACCCAGGTTAAATAAATCCCTACCGGAACCATGCACTCAGGTTCAGTGGCCTGCATGGACTCGTCAATCAATATGGAGTGGAATTTAAGGCGGGCCAGCCGGGGATCACCAGCACCGACACAAGTGCAGCAAATGACGTCAGCAGCTTCCAGCAATGTCTGTGAGACCAAACACAACAAATATTTAATTTTTTTTTTTTTAACACATCGGCCGTTTCCGACCGAGGCAGGGTGACCCAAAAAGAAACACCCAAAAAGAAAGAAAAATACTTTCATCATTCAACACTTTCACCATCAATTATACATAATCACTGCCTTTGCAGAGGCACTCAGATATGACAGTTTAGAAATCCCTCCAAACTGCCAGTATCCCAAACCCCTCCTTTAAAGTGCAGGCATTGTACTTCCCACTTCCAGGACTCAAGTCCGGCTAACCACTTTCCTTGAATCCCTTCACAAAATATTACTCTGCTCACACTCCAACAGCTTGTCAGGTCCCATAAAACCATTCGTCTCCATTCACTCCTATCTAACACTCACGCATGCTTGCTGGAAATAGAAGCCCCACACCCACAAAACCTTCTTTACCCCCTCCCTCCAACCTTTTCGAGGATGGCCCCTACCCTGCCTTCCTTCCCTTAAAGATTTATACGCTTTCCAAGTCATTCTACTTTGTTCCATTCTGTCTACATGACCAAACCACCTCAACAACCCCTCTTCAGCCCTCTGACTAATACTTTTAGTAACTCCATACCTCCTCCTAATTTCCACACTCCGAATTCTCTGCATAATATTTACACCACACACTGCCCTGAGACACGACATCTCCACTGCCTCCATCCACCTCCTTGCCACAGCATCTACAACCCAAGCTTCACACCCATGTAAGTGTTGGTACCACTACACTTTCATACATTCCCTTCATTGCCTCCACAGATAACGTTTTTTGTCTCCACAGATACCTCAACACACCGCTCACCTTTTTTCCTTCATCAATTCTATGGTTAACCTCATCTTTCATGAACCCATCTGCTAACAATTCAACTCCCAAATATCTGAAAACATTCACTTCTTCCAAACTTCCTCTCTCCAATGTGATATCCAATTTTTCTTTATCTAAATCATTTGATACCCTCATCATCTTACTCTTATCTATGTTCACTTTCAACTTTCTACCTTTACAAACCCTCCAACACTCATCCACTAACCTTTGCAACTTTACTTTAGAATCTTCCAAAAGCACAGTATCATCAACAAAAAGTAACTGTGTCAACTTCCATTTTGTACTTGATTCTCCATAATTTAATCCCACCCCACTCCCCAACACCCTAGCATTTACTTCTTTTACAATCCAATCAATAAATATGTTAAACAACCATGGTGACATTACACATCCCTGTCTAAGACCTACTTTTACTGGGAAGTAGTCTCCCTCACTCCTACACACCCTAACCTGAGCCTATCCACATAAAAACTCTTTACAGTATTTAGTAGCTTACTACCTATTCCATACACTGGCAACATCTGCAACATTGCTCCCCTATCCACTATCATATGCTTTTTCTAAATCCATAAATGCAATGAAAACTTCCCTTTTTTTATCTAAGTACTGTTCACATACATGCTTCAATGTAAACACTTGATCTACACATCCCCCTACCCACTCTAAAGTCTCCTTCCTCATCTGCAGCCCTACTCTCTGTCTTACCTCTAATTCTTTCAATAATAACCCTACTATACACTTTACCTGGTATAGTCAGTAAACTTATTCCCCTATAATTTTTACAATCTATTTTGTCCCCTTTCGCTTTATATAAAGGAACTATGCACGCTCTCTGCCAATCCCAAGGTACCTTCCCCTCTTTCATTTTTTTTTTTTAACAAGTTGGCTATCTCCCACAGAGGCAGGGTGACCCAAAAAGAAAATACTTTCATCATCATTCAACACTTTCACCTCACTCATACATAATCAGTGACTTTGCAGAGGCGCTCAGATACGACAGTTTAGAAATCCCTCCAAACTGTCAATATCCCAGACCCCTTCTTTAAAGTGCAGGCATTGTAAATCCCATTTTCAGGATTTAAGTCCTATTAAATCTATAATAACCGGTTTCCCTGATTTTTTTTTTTTTTTTAACAAGTTGGCTATCTCCCACCAAGGCAGGGTGACCCAAAAAGAAAGAAAATCCCCAAAAAGAAAATACTTTCATCATCATTCAACACTTTCACCACACTCACACATTATCACTGTTCTTGCAGAGGTGCTCAGAATACAACAGTTTAGAAGCATACACATATAAAGATACACAACATATCCCTCCAAACTGCCAATATCCCAAACCCCTCCTTTAAAGTGCAGGCATTGTACTTCCCATTTCCAGGACTCAAGTCCGACTTTATGAAAATAACCGGTTTCCCTGAATCCCTTCACTAAATATTACCCTGCTCACACTCCAACAAATCGTCAGGTCCCAAGTACCATTCATCTCAATCACTCCTAGCTAACACGCTCATGCAAGCTTGCTGGAAGTCCAAGCCTCTTGCCCACAAAACCTCCTTTACCCCCTCTCTCCAACCCTTTTGAGGACGACCCCTACCCCTCCTTCCTTCCCCTATAGATTTATATGCTTTCCATGTCATTCTACTTTCATCCATTCTCTCTAAATGACCAAACCACCTCAACAACCCCTCTTCTGCCCTCTGACTAATACTTTTATTAACTCCACACCTTTTCCTAATTTCCACACTCCGAATTTTCTGCATATTTACACCACACATTGCCTTTAGACAGGACATCGCCACTGCCTCCAACCGTCTCCTCGCTGCTGCATTTACCACCCAAGCTTCACACCCATATAAGAGTGTTGGTACTACTATACTTTCATACATTCCCTTCTTTGCCTCCATAGATAACGTTTTTTGACTCCACATATACTTCAACGCACCACTCACCTCTTTTCCCTCATCAATCCTATGATTAACCTCATCCTTCATAAATCCATCCGCCGACACGTCAACTCCCAAATATCTGAAAACATTCACTTCTTCCATACTCCTCCTCCCCAATTTGATATCCAATTTTTCTTTATCTAAATCATTTGATACCCTCATCACCTTACTCTTTTCTATGTTCACTTTCAACTTTCTACCTTTACACACATTCCCAAACTCATCCACTAACCTTTGCAATTTTTTCTTTAGAATCTCCCATAAGCACAGTATCATCAGCAAAAAGTAACTGTGTCAATTCCCATTTTGAATTTGATTCCCCAAAATTTAATCCCACCCCTCTCCTGAACACCTTAGCATTTACTTCCTTTACAACCCCATCTATAAATATATTAAACAACCATGGTGACATTACACATCCCTGTCTAAGACCTACTTTTACCGGGAAGTAGTCTCCCTCTCTTCTACACACCCTAACCTGAGCCTCACTATCCTCATAAAAACTCTTTACAGCATTTAATAACTTACCACCTATTCCATATACTTGTAACATCTGCCACATTGCTCCTCTATCCACTATCATATGCCTTTTCTAAATCCATAAATGCAATAAAAACTTCCTTACCTTTATCTAAATACTGTTCACATATATGCTTCAATGTAAACACTTGATCTACACATCCCCTACCCACTCTGAAACCTCCTTGCTCATCTGCAATCCTACATTCTGTCTTACCCCTAATTCTTTCAATTATAACCCTACCGTACACTTTTCCTGGTATACTCAGTAAACTTATTCCTCTATAATTTTTACAGTCTCTTTTGTCCCCTTTCCCTTTATATAAAGGGACTATACATGCTCTCTGCCAATCCCTAGGCACCTTCCCCTCTTTCATACATTTATTAAACAAAAACACCAACCACTCCAAAACTATATCCTCCCCTGTTTTTAACATTTTTGTCATGATCCCATCAGTTCCAGCTGCTTTACCCCCTTTCATTCTACGTAATGCCTCACACATCTTCCCCACACTCATACCCTGCTCTTCTTCACTCCTAAAAGATGTTATAATTCCCTGTTCAGTGCATAAAAGTACTGCCTCCCTTTCTTCATCGACATTTAAAAGTTCCTGAAAATATTCCCACCATCTACCCAACACCTCCAGTTCCCCATCAACTAACTCCTCTACTCTGTTTTTAACTGACAAATCCATGCATTCCCTAGGCTTTCTTAACTTGCTTATCTCACTCCAATTTTTTTTTCTTATTTTCAGCAAAATTTTTTGACAATACCTTTCCCACTCTATCATTTGCTCTCCTTTTGCACTCTCTCACCACTCTCTTCACCTTTCTTTTACTCTCCATATACTCTGCCCTTCTTATATCACTTCTGCTTTGTAAAAACATCTCATAAGCTACCTTTTTTCTTCATGGAGAAGTGGAGCAGAATTCTTCCTCCGTAAGCCATACGTGTCGTAAGAAGCGACTAAAATGCCAGGAGCAAGGGGCTAGTAACCCTCTGTCCTGTATATATTATTAAATGTAAAAGGAGAAACTTTCGCTTTTCCTTTTGGGCCACCCCGCCTCAGTGGGATACGACCAGTGCGTTGAAAGAAAAAGCTACCTTTTTCTCTTTTATCACACCCTTTACTTCATCATTCCACCAATCACTCCTCTTTCCTCCTGCACCCACCCTCCTATAACTACAAACTTCTACCCCACAATCTAATACTGCATTTTTAAAACTATCCCATCCCTCTTTAACCCCCTCACTACCCATACTTACACTAGCTCACCTTTCTGCCAATATTTGCTTATATCTCACCATAACTTCCTCCTCCCTTAGTTCATATACTTTCACCTCTCTCTTACTTGCTGTTGCCATATTCCTTTTGTCCCATCTACCTCTTATTCTAACTGTAGCTACAACTAAATAATGATCCGATATATCTGCTGCCCCTCTATAAAAACGTATATCCTGAAGCCTACCTATCAACCTTTTATCCACCAATACTTAATCTAACAAACTACTTTCATTATGTGCTGTTCATACCTTGTATTCTTATTTATCCTCTTTTTCATAAAATATGTATTATTACCAAATTTCTTTCTACACACAGTTAAATTAAAAGCTCCCCATTTTCATTTACCCCTGGCACCCCAAATTTACATACTGCTAGCTCCACAACATTTTTACTCAATCTAGCATT